ATTTGCCATAATTTTTACGTAATCAGCATCGCTGAGAATTTTCGAAATTATTTCTGAGTCTGTTTCGATAAATTTGGACACAGATAACCTACTACAAATAAATCTAGCAACTTTTGTCGTGATTATAAATGTTGCTTCAGTCACATATTTCGTCTGTATACGAGTCGAATCTTTCAGCAATAGCTATTCAATTCTGAGCTGGTTTTCAAACTCTGCAAATCAAAATTAATGGTACAGAAAGAAAAGATACTTATGACCGCTGCAATGAATTTATTTCTGAAATGCAGATGTAAAATGGAAGTTCAGCTTTCCAAATTTTTATGGAGATGCATCAATGTTCAATGTGAAGGTTCTTTGTAGTATGGCAGATGTCTACATGGTTCTTTAGTTCTCGAGTTCTTGCCACAGTAGTGTACGTATCCATCTTATTCTAACTGTTAACTGCTGGATCCATAAAGAGTGTCAGGTAGCTTATCGTTTCATCTTAAAGTTCTGAGAAAAATGATTCCAATTCAGTAGTTTAAAATAAATCTTCTTTTATAACTGTGCGACTAACGTTTATGTAGCTTGTATATCATAAATTACAACTCAAATAAAATTAAGATATTAATTTACAAGACAGAGTGAGCCTACAAGCTTTGATTCAGGCCTTCAAACATTCACTAACAGTTACGGCTAGCAAACTAGAGATAAAATAGTAAAACAGTTGTTAAAAGAAGTAATAGTGAGATGTAAGTTATAGATGCTAAAAGATTTCTGTTAAGAATTCTATGCTTAAAACATAAACTTATGTTGATATTGGTGGGAACCGATGAAACTAGAAATGAAAATAAAGGCAAAATTATTCGGTAACCTGTTAATAAACACAAACCTCCCTGCAGGCGATGACATGGCTTGATAAATTGAGCCGACCACCTCGCCTGTACTTACTGACCATTGCCTTACTTGCTATTAAGTCCTTTTGAGAAGTAGGCATAAGAAAATCTTTCTTTTCAAGCATTCCCAAGGAATAAATTACAAGGCTGTGTGAAGAAAACACAAAGTATTTTGTTAAAGCACAGAAAATATTTATCTTCAGAGAATTACATATATGTTTCTTATGTAGCTACCGAGTTTTCCGCGAACCAAATATCAAATTATTCTTGTTCAGTTTGCCATATGAAACGTGTACGTACTACATGAAACGTGGCTTCATCACGGATCACGAGTCTGCCCGCGGAATCATACACTTGCAGATCTGCGTCAAACTTAACCCATTTGACTTTTAAACAGTTTTTAGCGCCCATGCTTTCTCAAATTTGTAACACTTGAACTACAAAAGGTTGTGCAGTCCACGTCATAATTTTGCTTTCTTGTCTGTTAGCATGATGCATGTACTTGCTGAAGATTCAAGGATAAAGCCCACGAATATTTTCCGCCATTCGAATTATTGACTCTACTTGGTTATTGACTTCAACAAATGTGAACAGAATATTTGTGCTTTTCTTCTAGCACAAACAACCCTTGTCATTAAAATGCTTCATTTGCTTTGTGATATTGAGACAGTGAGCTGCTTTATTAAAAAATACGGTTAAAAAGTGTCTCTAAACAACGATTACCTTTGGAGGTTTTGCGTGTTATAGTTAATAATGAATTTTTTGAACTAAAGCTTCCATTTTTAATATCATCACTTCTAATGAGTTTTCCAGCATTGTCAAATGAAAGTTAGATTTAACTTTTCGTTTCTATTGTAGGGATCACAAATATGGTTTCATTTTGTATCATATATTTATCTTGAATTACCTTATATGTTTGTCAAATTATGTCGAGAAAGTGAGATTCAAGTGTTTACTTATGTTAAAGTTTACTTATGCTAAATGTTGTCTATATTCTATTAATAAATACAGATCTGAACAAGGAGAAGAACATCGAGTATAATTAAGTATTTTGCAGTTCGCTGATGCTACGTAGTAGTTTAACATACTAGCATACTAGATTAGCTAGATGTGGATTCCAGATTTGGTGGTTTCGGATTCCAGATTTGATCGCAGCGCCAGATTTGGTGACAATACCATCAAATATTCCACTGAGTTTTGATAAATGCTCTCTGAATTCTGAATTTCTTATAGAAAATTTATATTAATCTCTTAAAGGCGGAAGATATTGCATAAATTGGTGTTATTTGAAACTAACGTTCTGAGGAAAAAGTAAAGGTGTCTACTTAAATTCTCTAGAAGATGGCAGTTTAAAGTGAGAATTCTTTGAAATGGAATATGTATACATATGGGGATACTTCAGAAGATGAAAGATCATAGTTGAAAATGAAGTGTTTCTGGGGATAAAATCCAGCAGAATTTCACAGTACATTACTGGAGATTTTAGCAATCAGAGAGTGGAGAAAAGTACAACATTCCTTTGGGATACTAAGTTTTCGTGAAGGATATGACAAGCATACAAGATGATCGAAGTTTAAGAAGATAAAAAATATCGACTGATTAAGAATTGTAGTGCAGGAACTAGAACCCAGACAACCAGTTCAGCTACACTAGACGGCAGAATAAAAAGGCAAAAAGTTTTAAAAGCACCGGGCGGCAGAGGCCTAGCATCGGCTCCAATTTATTCCGATATTTGTGAAGGGCTAGAATCAAGAATAAGTTCGTCAAGCAACAGGCAAGAAAGAATCATGAGCTAAAGAGCCTTTACTATCATCAGTATTTTGAATGAAGCTGTGTATTAAAAAAAAAAAGTTTTTATGTGCAGTTGTTGACTCATTTCTTAATGCAGCGCTATTGAAACGAAGAACTGATCATAAAGATGAAAAATTTCCATTGCAAGTAACTTAAAACCTAAGTTAAAAATTTTGACCAGTACTGAAATACCTATTGATCCAGTGGAGTTCGTTCTTTCCGCGACCCCCAAAAATTCCAACATGCTAAACCGTTGGATCCGTAAATGATGATCTTTGCTTAAGATTATCAAGACAATATTGCGAAAGATGTGAAGTGTGAAAAAATTGTCACTGCAGCATTTATTATAAGTATTTAAAAAAAAAAAAAAAAAAGAGAAAAACATTGCATAAAAATGACCTAAAACGCTTAAGAATTAGGAATTAACTTCGAAGAACACCTGTAAAAGGACTAACTATAAAATCCCCAGATTTCAAATTCTTCCCCAAATTAAAACAGGTCTCACTTGAACAGTGATTTCCCTCCCTGAAAGAAGTTTTTTTCAATAGTTACCAAACTATTCAAAGACTGAATAAACTAGTATCCTGGGAGAAATAGCAAATCTTCCAAGACTGTCATTGTGAAGGAAGATGTTTTGCACAGAAAGAAACTGCCTGAAGTAGAATTAACCTGAAAAACAAATTAGAGAGCCATTACTTTTAAATTGTCCTAGTATTGTATATTTTATACTATCCCGATAGCCATTATCTGCTCTAAAAATGCATGGCTGTGATAGAAGTTTGCAGAAATGGAGTTATTTGCAAATGTATCTGTTATTCTGACGATAAACTTGCAGAGGACATTTTGAAATCGATTAATTTGATACATGAGTATAATAATTTAATAAATCAAATTAGTAATTAGAAACTAAACGTTTCATTGTATGCTTTCTATTTCAAAATGCAATTGTATAGTGGAACCTCGAGATACGAGCATCTCTATATACGAGAATTTCGAGATACGAGGAAAGTATGAGTGAAAAATTTGTCTCTAAATACGAGCATTGACTCGAATAACGAGCCGGACAGTGGGTATGTGTGTCGCGTTTCCCGATCCAGCTCGACTCGGGGAATCTCCTTGTTAGATCACTTTGATCTACGTGTTTGTGGTCTTGTGAGTTAATTGTTTATTACATTTAACGTGAAAATAATTATTTCACGATGCCACCCAAGAAGATTCTTGCCTCAGATAGTGCTGCAAAAGAAAATAAGGAAGCCCTGGCCTTTGAAATTAAGAAAGAAGTCATAGATTAACAAGCGTGGTCTAAGAGGGACAGAATTGGCGAAGATTTACGGCCTTTCGACATCGGCGATTTGCACTATTCTGAAGAAGCGGGAAGAAATTAAGAAACTTGATATAGCAAAAGGGGTTACTGTTACTTACAACCACCGTCCAAAACTCCTGGAAGATGTTGAGAAGCTGTTGTTGGGGTGGATTAATGAGAAGCAGTTAAGAGGTCGGTGTCGGAAGGTAAACTACGATTATGTTATTCACCAGTGTTATTTATTTGAAAAATTGATTTTTATGTTGATATTTTGGGGGGACTGGATATTTTGGGGGACTGGATTTCCATTATTTTTCAATGGGGAAGTTTATTTCTAGTTACGAGAAATTCGCTGTACGAGGTCAATGCTGGAATGAACTAAACTCGTATCTCGAAGTTCCATTATATGTCGAAAATTAAGCTACTGTTTGTTGACAGCAAGCCGCATTTTTTAGGCCAAAGAGTTGCAAGGTCGCGAGTCGCAGTTATGTTGTCAGGAAGCCGCTTGCATCTCGAGAACCGCAGTTTTGCCACGCTTGCTATAGAGCTTCAGTATTTACTGTCATTTTTGTCTTCTCAGTCTTCATGAAATGTTTTTAGTGCTGAATATTATCTTGAATGATGATTTATGTGCCAAGTTTAATTTCTTAACCATTGAATTTCTTAAAGTATGTTTGCAAAAACTGCTGAATTTCTAAGAATTTTTATAATAGATTGTGGTTTACAATTTTGATGAGTTATTCAAAAAACACAGTTTTTCATTTAACAATGAAATATATAATAGTTTAGATAACTTAAAAGTATCTTCAAGTAAGTAAAAGCAATTTTATTTAAAATATGTAAGGTATTTTCATTATTACTTTCATATTAATGTACTATTTTGAGAACATCTTTATGAATTTTGTTAAATGATATAGTGATTTTTTATGTTGCAGCTAAAATATTTCACATTGTGTATTTTTTGGTATTTTAATGTGAGTTAGAAACTTGTTAAAATATGGTTGAAAATTGATTTTTGTTTTTAGGAATTCTTAGAAAATGCAAACCATTTCTTAAGTGTTTCTGTATGTTCACAAATGGATCTAAATTATTGAATACTGATGGAACTGAAGGGCAGTTGCTGTGTATACACGGGATTAGATTTTTGAGTATGACATGGGTCATACTAGGCCACACTTATGCATCTTGTTTCACTTTTATAAGTAAGCTACTTTCATCTAAGTAATATTCTATAAATAATTTATTCCATAAGTAAGCCACTTTTAATAAAGCTTTGTAATTAAAATGTCTGAGTATGCTATTAACAAATACTTATCTGAAGATTACTTGATAAATTTCCACATTGCTTTTTTTGGCGCAACTGCACCGGGCTACAGAATTTAGGGAGCTGTGAAGATTGGACCAGGCGGCAAAATACCCGACGTCGTCTTGATGTGGAATGATGCATGTTAATGGCCGATTTGTATCAATATTAAAAAAGCATTCAGCGCTGAAAATTTGTTTATTTTTTGACAGAGCGGTGCATCCTCTGTCAGCTGTTCTATATGGTTTAAATATTAGAAAAAGTCTTACTTAAGTTATATGAATAATGAAATTCTGTGCTAATATACTGTAACATAATGCAACGCTTTATTTTGGAAACAAGTTGGCGTAAATTCATAGTTTTAGAAACGAAATGTTGTAAAACTTCCGTTAATAGATACTCCACTTTAGAGGACTTTCCCTTTTAATGAATAGTTCTAAGCATCTGGACCCTGAAGTACTAGATCAGTGCACTTACGTTTATAGCACGTATAATTTGATTAAAGATACAGTAAGACCCCCTTAACGCTGTTTCGTTTAGCGCTGTTTCGGTTTAGCGCTCTTTTATTTCAACCTCGGGATTCCCCGAAATTGCTCGCAGCGTGAACTACGGGGATTCCTCGAAATTGTGCGTAGCGGTAGGTTTCCAAATAACATATCCGAAACTTTGTAGTTATGTTTCTTGTTTGGTGCGGTGAGGTGCTGTACAGAAGCATTTTTATCATTTGAAACATTTGTTGACATTATTGTAAGTATAAATTTACATAATACTATAACGATTAATACAGTGACAAATATTATGATCTTTAGTTTTTATCATGGGTGATAATAAAAAACAAGAAAAGAAAGCAACCAGAAAAAGTATTTCACTGGAAACTAAAAAGCAAGTGATTAAAGATTAGATTCTGGTGAGAGTCAATCTCAAATTAGTGCTGCATTGAATTTGGCAACTTCAACAATAAGGACAATTCTTAAGAATAAAGAAAAATACTGTTATCGGCAACTGCAACTACGTCGAGCTCTGCAACTAGAATTACCCGTTCTAGATAAAACATTATAGAGGAAGTGGAAAAACGACTGTCTATATGGACTGACAACGAAATTGAACGCAGTATGCCATTAAGCCAATCTATCATAAAGCCTTCTTGACAAAAAGGCAGAAAATTGGAAACACAGAATAGACTGAATGATCTGACTGGCTTAGAATTTTATTTGTTTTTATAAATATATTCGTTTATATTGTTTTTATTTTTGTAAGAAATAAATGTTTGGTTTTTATTTTTATTTAAAAAAAAACATTATTAAATTTAATACCTAACCAATTTTCTATCCATCTTCCCCTAACTCCATTAGTTACATGTTAAGATAGCCTCGTTTAGCGCTGTTTCGCATTACGCTCTACTTTGATGGAACGGATCCCCCGCGTTAAGCGAGGTCTTACTGTAAATTATTTAATACTTTAAGTCTGCGCTGAAGGGATGTTAGACAGTACGTTTTTCCTTTTGTTTTTTGTGGTAGGGAGAGGACTACTCGTGTTTTCGTTAATCATATAATGTTTCAAAAATTATTACTATTTATATCATTTTAGGTACCATTTAGCTTCGTTTCAGTTGCACGATTTCCTTAATTCTTCTTCTCATTATTAATCTTCTGGTAACATATTAAAAACGTGTAAGTTCCTCTTAAAGTTAAATATCGATTAATTTTTTTTCCTCTGAAAATATAGTTACGAAGCATTATTACTACTGTGTTGATACATGCTTCAGAAGAGAGATTCAATGTTTCTAATACACATTGACCGCAGGAAAATCCACTGCCACGAAAGAAACTTCGCTACAGAGTATACAAAAAAATGGTCAAAGACGAGTCCTAGCCAACAGCGGTTGACAGCGGTGAAGCATATAAGCAAACTGTACATTGATTGCTAAGACAACCACTCAAAATCAGCCAGTGAGAGTCGAAGTAAGCGACGATTGTAACTCGGCCCACTATGATGAAGTCACAAGTCTGGAAATTCTTTTACATTCTGTAAAATTCTCAGGATTTGTTTGCTAGTGCATTGCAAATCGTTGTAACTTATTATCCACTATTACAATATTTCTATACATTTGACGATAATGTTAACTGTAAAGTATAAAAGTGAGAATAGATAATATCTTTTAAGAAAGGAATCTCCAAACTTACGAAAATCGGATATAGCGAAGTATATGGATGTCTTCGATTGAAACATCTTCGTATTTTTTCCTCAAATTTCTTCAATTTTTATCAAAAATTTACTTTTTAAAATCATCTACATTTAAGGATGTTAGGATTCGTATTCTACGTTCCATCCGTACAGTAAAATATTCTTTCCTTTGCTTTTCTTTTACGTTCAACCACACTTTTCTTTGTGTTGTAAGCAAATACTATGCGAAACTGGTGTGACACCCATTCTAGAAGGACATAATAAACAAATCTTAGGCATTGGCGAACGAGGCCCAACGAGGACATAATAAACAAATCTTAGGCATTGGCGAACATGACATTCTTTATAAATGTCTTTCATTGTTCCTCAGTTTACATAGGTTATTCCCGGAGATGTAAGCTCTTTTAACTTCCTTGTACGAAACAAAAAGGAAGTATTGTAATCGCGAAAATTTTCAGGTATCATATTTCAACGAAAATATCTATTTTGACCGCTATCGAATGCAATTTAATGATCTTTTTGCGTGACATTTGTACGTAAGGACAGAATAAAAAATCATTTTCCTCCAAAAAAAAAAAAAAAAAAATTATAAACTGCTTTAAAATGAATTCTGAAGAGAATTTTTTCGTGGTGTCTGTACGTACGTATGTATCTCGCATAACTCAAAAACGAGTAGCCTCAGAAGTTGAAATTTTGTATATAGAACTGCTATAGCATGCAGATGTGCACCTCATATTTTGGTTGCAATCGGCCGCGTCAAACGTATATAAATATATTTATGTATATATCCACTCTGTTACCCGGCTCAGTGAACTCAGCTTCTTTACTCTTATATGTTTGTAAATTGTGCAATCTTTGCTTTAAAAATGATTGAATTAGGTTGTTCTTATCTTTCGGTTAAGGTTTTTATGCCTTTAGGAAATCTGCAAACAATATTTGCAGAATTATCAATACTTTAAAAGCTGTTTAAGTGCAGTTAAGCCTAATTTTTAAATAACATGGCGGACATATTTGTTTACATTTGAAACATCAGAATAGTAGATTTGTTGCCAATATAGAGAGACTAGACTTTAGAGGACTTTCCCTTTTAATGAATAGTTCTAAGCATCTGGACCCTGAAGTACTAGATGTGCACTTACGTTTATAGCACGTATAATTTGATTAAGGATAAATTGTTTAATACTTTAACACAACAACAAAGATAACGCTTTCATTTATTATTGCGAATTAAATCATGCTTAATCCTTTCTGGAATTTTTTCGAGGAAATACGTGTTTAAGATTTACTTCGTAATTTTCAATATAGATGTTTTGAGTTTTTATGTATTTTTGCCTTGTCGCGAAGAGAGAACTGAATTAATTGAATGAGAAATACTGAATCGTCTGTGAAAACTGTTTCTTTTTTGTTTTATTTGCTTAATTTTTTTATACATTGCTCTAGATTTATTATAGTATTTGAATAGAACATGTGACAACGATTAGATAATTCTTCGAATGATATAAATTTTGTGCATTCTGAGTTATAATATGAACGAAATATAATGCTGTTAAGTGAACCTAGCGCCAGAGTGTCGCTATGGTAAACAAATATAGTGAATTTTAAAGCGTGCATTTATTCTATTGTGGTTTATGTGCTATCGGAGAAGTAGATTTAGTTCAATCCAATAAGTTTAAATGAAATGCAAGAAAAAATGCGTATAATTTAATATTTCGTACAAGAAAGTCATGTGGTGTACACATCAGATTTTCTATTCCGTCGACGGGATCCAATTGTCTGAAGAGCACCTTACCTAGGGGGCTAGCTGCTCTGCCGATGGCGAAAAAAAAAGAGCTATATTCATTGTTGATACAATGATGGAAATTTTCGTTTTTCAAGGGACGGAGTAACGATCTTACATTTTTTTTTTTAAACAGTTCATCCATCTTATAGAAAATGAAAATTTGTTATCCTTATCTTTTTTAGTACAAATTCTACTTAAGTTCTATCCTTCGAATGGGGGCTGTGCATTCTTTAGGTCTGTTACTATTGTTGTGACTTGTCAGATAGTAACATCAGAACAAGCCCACGAACTTCATCATGACAAGAAATGCAGGACTGCGTCTGTCGTTGGCAAGAACCTCGAGCGCCATAGAGGCGACAATACGACTTTGTCCAGGTCCGCCCCCCCCTATTTTGATGGAGAGTACTCCGGGAGGACGGGTCCGAGGGACGGTCCCACTCCTCTTCCTCTACCACCAAATTCTAGAGACGACTTTTGGCTCGCTGCATATTTAGAGTGCATTTTAGTCTATTAGTTGCTTGCGTAACTGTAAATTGTGTTATTCCCCGTGCAGTGCAGGCGCTTGGCAAATATTATGAGAAAGCTAAGCCGGAAAAATTAAAAATAGAAGAGCACGTGAATTTAACATTTAAAAAATAAATTTAACATCTATATATAATAGAATTCGGAAATATGCACCCGGCAGAAACCGGCAAAGATAAAAAAACAAATAAAATGAAGTAAATAAATATCTTTATTATATGCGGCTTAAGTGTTTGTTTGTCACCGATAGTTTATTGGTTCCTTGCGTAACTGTACTAGCCAATGGGGGTGACGTTGCCACGGCACACGGCCGTTTCAATTGAGACGTAGACAATTTCCTGTAAAACTTGCCTTTGCTATGGCCATCAATAAGTCTCAGGGCCAAACGCTTAAAGCGTATTGGCATATTTTTA